CACAACGATCCCAGCGCCGCTGCCAAGCCTGGAAGCATCCCTGGAAATCTTTCTTTGTCAGCATGTCAAGCACCATCTGCGATTCTGCCTGATTCTCTTCTATCGTCTCAAATCTCCTTCCTTTTAGCTGAATTTTCATCTTTGGGAAGAGGAAGAAGTCACACGGAGCTAAATCCGCCATTCCGAAATCGCAGGAGGGTCGGTGTAATGCACTACCAAAACGCCCGTAACTAAGAAACAAATGCTAATTCGATGATGCCGGCTGGCACACTGATTCACTATGAATGTAGGCCCAACCCCTTAGCGGCAGATGCTCGTACTACATCCGGTTCGCCCTCTATTGACATAATCTGGAAACTTTCTGATCGCACCTCGTATTTCGCTAAGTAACAAAGAAAATTACGATTGAAGATTTCTGTCTTCTGGGTTATTGCGCTGTGTAGTCTGGTCGATGTTAACCAACGTTTCAGAGGTCATACTGCCTCCGTCACCAGTTTACACTTCGGCCGTTCCACATATTCTCCCTGGAGGTCGATTCACCGTTGCCATCTCTCTGGCAATTTCCGTATTGCCTCACGAAACCATTGTTTGGGGGTGTCTCGTACCCACTCCCTGACAGCATCATGTAAGGCGTCACTATCGGGAATCAGTGACCACGCAGGGGATTCTTCATCTCACGTAAGAGGGCATAGTCACTTGGCGCCAGATTGGGGGAATAGGGCGGGTGTGGGATCACGGTGAACCCCAGTGACTGCACGTGCAACTGTGTTCAATTCCCCGATAGTGACGCCTTACATGATGCTGTCAGGGAGTGGGTACGAGACACCCCCAAACAATGGTTTCGTGAGGCAATACGGAAATTGCCAGAGAGACGGTAACGGTGAATCGACCTCCAGGGAGAATATGTGGAACGAGCCGAAGTGTAAACTGGGAGCCACCACCATCAAGGATCACATAATTCAGGTTAGTCTAAATCATTTGTATACGCCCCTCGTATAATCCACGCAGAAGAAACAGCAAATATCGCTCCCTTTTATGATGTATATTTAATTGACATCAAGCAAGATTGTTACCCTCAGGAGGCTTCCAAACAAGCAGTCGCAATTTGGATTATCTACTCTGATAGTCATTTTGACATCTCTTAGTTGTCAGATAAGGAATCCCTATGTGATCGAGTAGGGTCCAATCTTCGTCAGCAACTCACACGGATAACTTGTGGGAAAACACCTGTGCTTGTCTGTTGATTCTTTTCAGAAGTTTGGGCCCCTCGTTATCACATAGTTTTCGAAAAGGTGTCACACTCTGTAGTCGACAATTACCGGCGTTGGCAAAGAGCTCTATAACAGACAACACCGTCGTTTTTAAAACAAGACGATGGGAAATTCTTTGTGATATGGTGAATGCGCTTATTAGCTGGGAGTGAATTAACAGGAGTCTTTCTGGTTTGGACAAGAATTACTAATTTATTTCGAAAATCTGATGTAAAACACAATGTTTAACAGAAATAAATAAAGCAAGTACGACTTTGTATAAACTATTAAATCAATTGTAGGCAAAACTTATTATTATTATCCACTAGAATATTTTTTTCAAATAACTGGTATGTACTTTGTAAAATTTTATGTAAAACTTTTGTTATTAGTAAATCATTAAAAGATAAAATATTGTATGGTCCTAACTAAAATTAAATATTTGTTAAATTCATGTCTTCTTTCATTTTTGTGAATTATTCATAGATTTCAGAGCCCAGAACAATCAATTTCCCAACGAAAGTCAACTCTAATAATTGACTACAAATTTAACAAGAAATTTAATTCGCTTTCAATCCACAATACGTTAAGCAGTAATTATATCTTTTTAATGTATTTACTTCCACATTGTTTGAATATATAGTTCTCATTTCATTGTCGCAGTGCCTTAGTCTCCCCGTTACCTAGGAAACGCTTGCAACAGAAGCAGTTGAACTAAACACAACTCTAGAGAGGTTGTCTTGTCTGGTGATTGTCAGCAGAGGTCTGGGCCCATCTTAGTTGCATAATGTTTGAAAAGGTGTCACGCGCTGTAGCAGACGACAATTTTCAACGTTGGCAAAAAGCTCTGTCAATTATGGTGATGTGAATTCGCTCGTGGAACAGCAAAAAACACGATCGCATTGATCATTCTCAACGCGATGCAGATCCAGACAGCCTCTATCTGTACACAGGACAGCACAGAAAAACGCGGACAAACATCCATGCCGTGACAGGGATTCGAACCCAATGTCCCAAGCGGCACACTTCAGACCGCGCGGCCATAAATTAGATTAAAGTAAGAGTCCAATATTTATTGACAGAGAATGGCATGACTTTGAAAAAATTTCGTTAACACAGAACATAATAAGGTAATGGAGTGTTAATTTAATGCCCTAACAGAGGCCAGAGGGTCACTGTAACAGCCGTCGGTTACAGCTCGTTCAACACGGTTAGGTAGTGTCTCAGGATCGTGTCGAACGGCGTGTTGTGGTATACGTGTTAGCGCTCGTAGTTTAAGATTTTGATCGTAAAGCCTTCAAGCATTTGAAGGAAATCTGCGACTCAATTTATCTAATCTCTTAAAACATTCAGCGTTAAGTAATTCGTGGTTTTCCGACCCTCGAAGAACCGTATCTTAACGCTGAAGGCGATAAAGTTCCCTTGTTTATAAACTACCAGTTTCTGGACTTGTCTGCAGTTTAAGCCGACTTAAGGTTGGCTGTTTCCACTTCGCTCCTTCCGCTTTATTTATAGCTAACGCTTTAGATTTCAACTTTCCAAACTTTTTTACATCGTAGAATGATACATTAATCACTTAACTAGCCTGACGGGGCCGTCCAATAACATTTCAAGAATAAAAAAAAGAAAGAAACTACAGCATCTGAAAGGAGTCGCCGTCTTACTCCAGACAAGAGAGAAATCGCAAGCAAATGACGGCCCAATTAAACCAGGGTTTATTCACCCCTCATTCTCATAAAAGGCCAATCTTCTCGGCTCAATATGGCGAACAATGCACCTTTCCGGTTTCTGACCTTGATGTAGGGACAAATGAAAAGAATGGAAGACTTGGTAGGAAAAGTATAATAAAAGAAACTACACTGATAAAGAGTAGAAAAAATGTTTTGACAAAAAGAACCACTTAGCCAGTCAGGAAGGAAGCAATTATGACAGTCTATGATATGGAAATGAAGCTGTGTCAAGAACGAAAGCAACTGCAAGTGGCCGCAATAAGATCCTAATTTCAACAGGAATTTCAGCTTAGAATATGTAAAGTCACATTGAAAGTACAGTCAGCGCAGGAATCAGTAGAATAAAATCAACCACAATTCGATTCACTGATTTACAACGCAGAAACAGATGTGTTAACACGAAATGGTGAGAAAAAAGACGAAACAAGCATTACAAGGATTACGCTTATTTAATTTACTATTTAAAACTCTTTGCTCTTCACCAGATATTTCTTTTGTTACGATAATAACATAAAAATGATAATACAGACGCGATAAGTAGCAAATACATGATTTATTTTTAGAACCAGCCGACAATAATATTAAACATCTTAGAAGAAATACAATGTATCTGTATGGACTGGATTCAACTGGCTCAGGATAGGCTTCAGTGGTAGGCTCTTATGAACACGGCTCTTAACTTTCGGGTTCCATCACAGACTCTGACTATATTAACCGCTGAGAGAGACTGCTCCATTTGGAGATGGAGTCTGTTGATACAGTAACTATCGATACAACGCACTCCGTCACTATACGATTATGTCGATATGCTGTTAGTTGTATAGACCCACTTGATGGCAAAACTTTAAACTTGAAACATGTCATATACATGGTTAAAATAACACAAAGGATATTTGTGACTGGTAGTTAGTTACATAAACTCAATTACATTATCAAAAGCATCGTTATGAACCAACTTAACATTTTGATACGTTTCAACGCGAGTTTCGAACCGCTAGTGTTACCAGTGTAGGTATTAAGAATGCATCATTTCAACTACAAAGTTCACTAATCAAATTACGATTTATCACTTATCGAAAACACAAACGATCGATTATTCCACTTTCCTAACATTTACGTTCATGAGAGTCGTGTTTTTCTCAAAACTAACTATCTCCATGGTGTACAGTCCTTTTTGAGAAAGAATCTACTAGCTACGCTCTGCTTGACAAAGAAATATCTGAATTTTATGAAATTATAATAATAATTTTTGTATTCATAAGAGTTCGTCACTGGTCTCTATCCTGAGCTAAATTAATCTAACCCACACCCGAAAACCTAGTTCCGTAAAAAAGTAAAACATCCTCCTCCCATCTGTTTACTGATTCAGCGTATTATTAATAAGAAATCTGCTACAAGGAATTAATACTACAAGTATAATATTCCTTACAACTGCGCAAACCCGCCTTGTTGGCAACTGCTGGAAACGTTCAGGTCGCCCTCAGTAGTATGGAGTTGATGACGAATTTCAATAAATTCCGTCAGATGGTGCCTATGTTGTTGTTTATTACTTTAATATGGAATAATCACAGATTTACTTAGCTTATTAAACAACATTAATTTCTTTTGGAATTCTGACAAAATACGCACAACGTTCCAATAATGTTACACTTATTTCGATACGTCTTACGTACATTACAAATAAAACACACATCACCAAATTTGTAGGATTTCAAGTTTTCACGGCTGTGAATCTGAAGATGACCGACCGCCTTCTGGGTTGTGTATTCTGGTAGATCTTTACCGACTATCGCCCTGATGATGGAGGCAGCAAGGACCTCTGAAACGTCGGTGAGCTACAAGATTACACGGCGCAACAAGCCAGAAGACAATCATCTTCATCACCAAATTTATCAAACTAGAGCAAAGCGCTCCTTTCGGAGCTCCTTTCGTCTATCAAGCTCATTTTGCAAAAAAGTGTAACGAAGACGGGTCACACTAATGGTTACCCAGGAAACGTCATCTGTTTACTCGGCATAGAATGAAAGGAAGGGGGTTAAAACACTTGACCACTTGGAGGGGGGGGTTGCGTTTTAAAATCTTGTGTAAGAAACCAAACTAACCCCCCTCCTCCGCCACTTTCCACCAAGGGCACGGAAAATTCTAACGGACCCAAACGATTCTTCGTTTTCAGTAGTGCAACAACGTCATATCGCACTGTTTCCTTCCCTCCCAATGTGCGTGTATCTACAGGATGGCGCACGAAATGATACCAGACTGAAAGTTTAAATAAAGGCTTTAATATTCATATAATGGGACATATATATCTATGAACACAAAGAACAATTCATGGAGATTTATCCTTTATGGATTACATGCTTAATATGACCACCGATCTGTCGTGCAACTTCCGAAACACGAACGGCTCCTCCGAAATTTCACCATACATTTAAACATCAAAGCCCTGAGTTGCATGATTGAGGCTGGTTTTTTGGAAACAGTTTTTCCTTGAGGTAACCCCAAAGGAAAAATTCGCAGGGGTTTATGTCCGGACTATTGGGTGGCCACTTCTGTCCACATCCGTGGCGAGCAGGATATCGGTGGGAAATCACACGTGGACCGAAAGTGTCGTGCAGGAAGTTCCAAGAAAACGTATGCTGTGTGTGGTGTAGCCTTCCGGGTTGATTTCCCCAGGCTTCTTTGCATGGCTACTCTGACAGCTTCAATGTTCTGTCGGCTACGCACACTTGCGGCACGTCCACGTTTCTTTTCCAACACTGTACCATCCTGTTGAAACTGCTGATGAAGTCTGTGAATAGTTTTTGGAGCAGGGGCCCACCGCGTACCAAAATAGGCATGAAACCATCTCTGTGTTTCCACAACACTTTGTTTCCGCAAAAAACAAAACTGAACCGTAAGTCTTCCCTTGTCTGCCATCTTCTGCATATTGGCGGGAAACCGCGACATAATCATCTCGCGTTAGCTAGGTGATGCATATACCACCTAACGGTATCTCCATGAACTACTGCACTTACCCACATGACCGAAAACTTCATCCGTAACGTGGTTGCTGATTTATCGTTAAAACAAATAGGGCATCATTTCGTGCGCCACCTGTATCTTTCTTAGTCTGTATACTTGCCTTCTCTCTCTCTCTCTCTCTCTCTCGGCCACTCTTCGTCTTCACGTGTCAAGTACCGCAGGAAACTTCTAATAATAATCAGCTTAAGAGATATTTTAAGTCAGGGCAAACTAGCAAGGCATGCGCTTAGGTTTTCAAACAGAAGACACCAGCTAAGTGTAAATGGCGTCATTTTGAATCCAGTAACGTAAAACAAAAATCTTTATTCTCCTCCTGTTCATCGGATAACACAAAACCATTGATTAGTTAAATATAACTAAAATAGAAGTTTTTAATAAGGGCGCTATATGTATTAATGTTAAGACCCTTAGAAGAGTTTATTTAAACAAAGGTGATTGTAAATTTTTGTTTCATGCTAAAGACTAATATTACAATTTATAAGTAACTCTACGCAAAAATGCAGTCAGATCTGTAATGGTTTAATAACCGACGTTTTGGTCCAGTGAGATATAACTATGGTTCCGTATTCTTAAGGAGCACAGT